TTCAAAAATTCCCAACTTGGGCCAGCGAGATAGCTCAACAGACTAAAGCGCCTGCTTAGGGAAGCTTAGGCAAGCACAGGGACTGCGGTTTCTTCCCGGACACCACAGGCTGCCAGCCCTGCCCCCTAAGGCAGACTGAGCTGGCCAGAGTCTAGGCATGGTGGCACACACCTTTAAACCCAGGGCTGGGGAGGGTGAGAACAGGAGGATCACTAAGAGTCCAAGTAATGAGACCCTGTAACACCCGAATACATTTAAAAAAAGGCGGGGGGAGATGGCTCAGTAGAATAAGCACTTCCCTGGCAAGCACAAGGGCCTGAGTTCAATCCCTGGTTCCACACACACACACAAAAAAAAAAATTCCCCACTGCAGGATGCCATTTGTTTCCTGTTGGATCTCCTAACACAAGTGTCATGTCAGCTGATTTCTTATACTAGAAAGGCAGGAATGGTGTCTCATTTACTTTTCTCTCATTGCTGGGACCAAAACCCAACACCCAAAATTAAGGAAGGAAAGGCTTATTTAGCTCATAGTTAGTAAAGGTTTCAGTCCATACTTGGTTGGTTCCAAGGCAGACTAGCACACGGCAAAGGACAGCTATTCATGGTGGTGAAAAACAGCAAACACCAAAGGGAGGAGCAGCCGCTGAGGCAAAGGTGAGTACTTCTCCTTTCCTTATACTGCTTTTCAGGCTATCTTGGGGGGAGGGGGTGTGTGTGCAGTACTCGCACCTACAATCCCAGCATTGGATCATGAACTGATCACAAATTCTAGAAGTCTATCACATGACTACATGGGACTTCGGAGGGACAATTAGATCTCTACAAACCATAGCACATGGGTAGACAAAGCAGGGAGATAAATTCTAGGAAAGGGACGTTGTGACTCACACAAGTTAGCTCTGTTCAGACACCTTCTCTCCCCTTGTTATTTCCATAATTATGGTAATAGTATTTTCTCAAACACAGTTTCCAAGCAGATTTTACTTTTCTTTCTTCCTCCCTTTTTTTTTTTTGCTCTGAATGCCTTCAGGGCAGGTTTGGCTGGCTTGAGTTGTGGGGATCAAACCACAGTAACCTGAGCCTGACTGCTTTGTTGAAGCAGCCACTTAAAGAACTGAGCTAAGGGGCAGGCTCCCATCTTTCTTCCTTTCTTTCTCTCCTTTTTTTTTTTTTTGGACTGGGAATCTAACTCAAGACCTCACGCTTGCCAGGTAGGTGCTATGCTGCTCAATTATATCCCTGGCTCACCAAGCAAATTTTCAAATCATCAATAGGTTTTTTGTTTTTTGTTTTTTTTTTTTCCAGTACCAGGGATTGAACTCAGGACCCTGTGCTTGCCAGGCAGGCACTTATCCTGCTGAGCTATCTTCTTGGCCCAATAGGGATTATTTTTAAGAAGAAATATAAAAAAATAAAAAAATTTAAAAAAAAAAAATATCCAGGGGGGCCGGGGAGATGGGTCAGTACAATAAGGGCTTGCCTGGCAAGCACAAGAGCCTGAGTTCAATCCCCAGTTCCGCAAAACAAAACAAAACAAAAAGACATGGGGCTGGGGAGATGGCTCAGTGGAATAAACGCTTCCCTGGGAAGCGCAAGGGCCTGAGTTCAATCCCCGGTTCTGCCAAAAAAAAAAAAAAAAGACACAAAAGTTGAATACAATTCTGGAGTGGATATAGAAATGTCCAGGGACATTAGCAGTAAAAACTAATAATTTAAATTAACCATAATTAATGGTTAGAACGTTAAGGAAAAATTTCTTTGCCTGTATTTCTTTTTTTTTTTTTAATGAGCAGAATGTATTTATTGAGGGAAAGAAAGCTCCAAGAGAGGGACAGGAGGGGGGCCCCCAAGCGAGTGGTACCCCTCTTTGCCTGTATTTCTATCTGGTACTTACACCCAAAGGTCGCTTCTATAACAATACTTCTAATAAACGCAAGAAAAAGCGCTGTGGAGATAGCTCAGTGGCCTAAGTGTCTGCCTAGGCAAGGGGAAAGACCTGCATTTGATCCCCAGTACTACATGCCGTGCCGGCCCTGCACTGTGCCAGCCACTGAAACCAGGTGTGGTGGTGCACGCCTGTAATCCCAGTGCTAAGGAGGCTGAAACAGGCAGATCGATACGAGTCTGAGCTGCATTGTGAGACCCTGTTCCAAATACACAAAATTAAAAAAAGGAAAAAAAAAAAAGCAAGAAAAAAGTTTGGTAGTACTAGGGAACCGAACCCAGGGGTGCTCCCACTGAGTTACTTCCCTAGCCTTTTATCCTTTTTGTTGCAGTTGTTTTGAGGCATGGTCTCCCTATGTAGTTCAGAGAAGCGCTTATTCTACTGAGCCATCTCCCCAGCCCCTGTTTTTTGTTTGGTTTTTTTTTTTTTTTTTTTTTTTTGGCAGAACTGGGGATTGACCTATGTAGTTCAGACTGACCTTGAACTCACTATATAACCCTGACTGGCCTTGAACTCATGGTGTTCCTCCTACCTCAGCCTCCCCAGTGCTGAGATTATAGGCATGTAAGACCACATTTAGCTCTTCCCCAGCCCTTACCCTTAAAAAAATTTTTTTTTTTCTTTCAATTTTGAGACAGGGTGTCCTTAAATTACCTAGGCTGGGTTCAAACCTGTGATCTTTCAGCCTTAGGGCCTGTGCCACCATGTCCTGTGCAGGCCACTATACCCCAGCCAGAAATTTGCTTAATAATATCAGATACAACTACCACAAATCTAGTAACTCATATAAAATATCCTTTTTTTTTTTTTTTTGGTGGAACCAGAGATTGAAATCAGGCCCTTGCGCTTACTAGGCAAGCACTTATTCTACTGAGCTATCTTCCTGGCCCCCTACATTGTATATACTCTAGAGGAGTATGTTCTCAAGTTTAGGTATTATAGATTACAACATCACCTTAGCAGTTCATAATATTTTTTTTAAAAAAAAGCATACAAAGTACACAAAAATGGAAACTAGGAAATCAGAGTGAAGGAAGAATGAGTATCATTTCGCCAAGTCAGGCACAGGGGTGTGCACCTGTAGTCCCAGCTACAAAGGAGGCAGGAGGATCACAAGAGCCTAGGAGTTTGAAGTAAGACTCAGCAGCAGAGTAGGACCCTCTCTCAAAAGGAATAAAAGATGTGCTGTATGCCACTGACAGTGTGTCTCAGTGGCAGAGCACTTGCGTAGTGTGAACAAGGCTCTAGGTTCAACTCCTAGGTTTATTTCAACACACATGCGTGCATGTGTGTTACCAAGAATTAAGCCCAGGGGCTTTGTACGAGTTATATTCCCAGCCTTTTTATTTTTTTTATTTTGAGACAAGGTCTCACTAAATTGCTCAGGTGGGGCTCAGACTTACAATCCTCCAGCCTCAGTCCCCCAGGGTGCTTGGGAGTACAGCTATGCATCATTACACCTGACTTTATTAAAAAGAATGTTTTTCAGATAAGGTGTCCACCCAGGTTAGCCTTGCTGAAGAGCTGGGGTGCAGGGCTATGCTACTGCACCCAGCTACTCACCCCACCCTCCCCACAATAGAGAGTGAAACTAGGACCTTCACACTAAGCTACATTCCCAGCCCTTTCCTTTGAGATGAGGTCTCCTTAAGTTGCCCAGGCTGGGCTCAAACTTCCAATCCTTTTGCTTCAGCCTCCTAGATGGCTAGAATTACAGATGTGTGCTACCATGTCCAGCTTACTTACTTTTGTGTGGTGTAACAGGGCATAATGTAGAATGCATTTCTTATGATGGGCAACAATCCAGAAAATCTGAAAGCTACTGGTCAGAACAGAATGCCTTTCAGGGGGCCAGGAAGATGGCTCAGTGTAATAAGTGCTTGCCTGGCAAGCACAGGGGCCTGAGTTCAATCCCCAGTTCTGCCAAAAAAAAAAAAAAAAAACCCAAACAAACAAAAAAAGAAGAGAACACCTTTCAACAACAGAATGAATATAAGGCTAATATATGCTGCTTCAGTCTATACATCAGTTTTTCCTCAACCCTGCAGGACTGAGTGCACTGCCTAAGAACTCTTCACTAGTCGCCCCTCTCCTGTCACCTCCCTTCCAGGCCCTCCTGGAATCACCTCGCCCAAAGGACTTGTGTCTGCTCGTAGGTGACGCATCCTGAGAGTGCTGCCAGCGTAATACTGCTTTCACAGCCAAGGCCACAACGAGGAGCCTGCCCCAGGAAAAGCTCACAAACTTTGCCAATCGAGGGAATAATTTCTAACTCCAGAGTCAGAGATGCCACTTTAGGAGACCTGTTCCATCCCACATACCCAGGAACATTAACAACAAAGAGCCTGACCATTGCATGGGGTGTGGACTGGTTCACTTTTTCATGTGCTGCAACTCTAAGCTTTTCTTATTTACTGCGACACTTTACTTCTTACATGTAGGTTGAAAAGAAGTTAGTTCTACAAAAAAGAATTCTAATCCACAAGTAAAAATAACTCAAGTAATATAAAAAATACCAAAAAGAAAACACATTCCTGCCAATATGTTACAGCTATCTGTAAATCACTTTTGGCTTTTTTCCTTTGAAGATGGTCTTGTTATTTTGCCCAGATTAACCTCAGACCTCTGGACTCAAGCATCCTCCTGCCTCAGTGTCCCAAGTACTGGGACTACAAAGATGCACCACGGCCCTCTTGACCTTCTGATATTCCTGAAGTCATGGGGGATGGGAACAAGGACTCAACCCAAATCTTCAGCCAAGATTCTGATGAGCTACTAACACTTTCACTCAAAAAATTACTGTTAATGTAAAATGTACATGTTCAGCTCAGTAGTCAACACTAGATTTGGGTTTCTTTCAACAACAAATTTATGGTCTGCTTTCCTTTGCATCTTCCATCTTGGTAAATATTTCAGCAAAGAAAAAATAAAAACATTTCAGCAAAGGCAGAGTAGCAGCACAAATTTTCATGAAAGGAGTCACATAACTGCCAGCCAGTAAAGCAGGTCCCCACACCCAGCGCGCCAACTGCCCCTAGGACTGAGTACTTACCCCGTCCCAGCAGAGAGGGATGGTGTAGCCGAGGGGGCACTGGGCTGTGGGTTTTCTTTCTCATTTTGCTTGAAGAAGGATTTGGCTTCTTTAGATGTAGCATCCACTTCCTTAGTCACCCTGTTCCAAACAAAGAGACATCAAATTTACAAAAAGAACATGGAGAAACAAAATGTAAGGAAAAGAAAGAAAACAAGGACTAAGAATATAACCACTAGGGAGATGGCTCAGCGGAATAAGCGCTTCCCTGGCAAGTGCAAGGGCCTGAGTTCAATTCCTGGTTCCGCAAAAAAAATAAATAAAAAGAATATAACCACCACTTTAAATAAACTGTGAATGCTGAGCTTTATTATGATTAAAGTTTACTAGGGGCCAGGGAGATAGCTCAGTAGAATAAGCACTTGCCTGGCAAGTGCAAGGGCCTGAGCTCAATCCCCAGTTCCACTAAATAAATAAATAAATAAATAGCATGCTACAACAATCCTAGACAAAAATCATTTTCCCTGACTAAACTAAAACAACACTGTGTATGAATTTTATCTTCCTAAGACCCCTCCATTACATTTCTCAGCATGAATGTTATGGTATAGAGCTAAAATGGCCCCCAGGGGGCTGGAAGATAGCTCAGTGGCATAAGCACCTACCTAACAAGCACAGAGTCCCAAGTTTGATCCCCAATACCACAAAAAATAAATAAATAAAAAATTTAAAAATAAAATAAAATAGCCCCAGGGGCAGGGGAGATAACTCAGTGGCACAGGTATCTGCCTGGCAAGTGCAAGGTCCTAACTTCAATGCCAACTACCAAAAAGCTAAACAACAAAAACAAGAAATTACCAAAATAGCCCTCAGGACCAGGCTATATGGCAGGTATATGGCAGCATATACCTGTAACTCCAGCACTTGAGAGGCTGAGAAAAGAGGATCTTGTGACTCTTGAGACCAGTCCAGCTACAAAGTGAGCTCAGGGCCAGCCTGTACCTCACAGACCCTGTCTTAACATGACAAGCAAACAAACAAATAAAATGGCCTCTGAAGCCTCAAGTGTTAGGAATGTGATCACAGCTTGCCTGGTAGCACAAGCCTATAATCCCAGCACTAAAGCAGGAGGATCATTGCGAGTTTGAGAGCAGCCTGGACTACACAGTGAGCTCAAGATCAGCCTGAACTGCATAAAAAAAAATTACGGATACATTACAGCTTTCTTGCTGTTAAGCGGCTGGGTCAATCAGAAAAGGCTGGGTCTAATCAGAAGACGTGGGTCACTATGGGCTAACCCAAAGAGGCCTATCTCCTTTCCAGGCTGCCCCCTCACTCTCTGCTGCCTTTGTGCCCTGAAGTGAGCAGACATCCTAAGCCCAGGCCCCTACACCACACCATTTCTGCCTAGAGCCAGCTGACCATGAAAGGACTGAAACCTGTAAACTATGAGCCAAAGCTGGGCATGGTGCACACACTAGTCATTCCACCATGCGGGAGGCAGAGCCAGGAGGACACAAGTCCATGGCCAGCTTGAGCCATAAGGCAAGATCCTGTCTCAAAAAATAAATAAATAAATAAATAAATAAATAAATAAATAAATACTAAAATAAAACAAAGTGACTAAGACAAAGAGCCACAGCCTAGCAGTCACTCAGCTGAGCACATGCAGGACACCAGTCTGAAGATGAGAAAGGCCTCACATTGTACCTCACATGAACACCAGGCCTTAGACTCAAAGAGCCAGTGAAGGGGTCACAGAGGTAGCTCAGTGGTCTAAGCCCCTGCTTAGGCAAGCACAAGGGCCTGGGTTTGATCCTATGTACCGCATGCCATGCTGGCCCCATTCCCAGCTGGCCACCGAGACCAGGCATGGTGGTGCACACCTGTAATCCCAGCGTTGGGGAAGCTGAAACAGGAGGGTCACTATGAATCTGAGCTGTGTAGTGAGACTGTGTACCAAATATATAAAATTAAAAAAAAAAAAAAGCCAGTGAATGGAGGTCACCCACCCAAGACCAGTTTTTCTCCCTTTATCAACAAGACCTCCCCTTTGCGGTTTTCAGCCTTAAAAACCCTTGTCTCTCCCCTCCTGGGCGCGCACTTAGGCACTTTGTACCGGGTGTTGCTGCTGGGTACCAGCTAAAATAAAGCGCTCTTTTTTTTTTTTTTTTTAAATAGCCAGTGAAAAGTGAGTGTAGGACAGAACACTGGGGAAAAGCAACAAAATGATTCAAAAAGAAAAGTAATGTTATAAACAACTGAGAATACTCTAGAGGCCCCTTTCTCTTCTACACATAAAGACCACCCAATGATGAAACAAAATCTCTTGAAACTGGACAAATTTGGAAATGCCAGGATGAAACTTAAACAATTTAAATCTCAAAAGGCTGTGCATAATAAAATTGAGTCCTAAAGGTTCAAATAAGGACAAATAGAATATGATGCCTCAAATTGCAGATAAAGACAGGAAAAATACCTAGCACCTGCCTCGGCTTGTCAGGTCAACAAAATCATCAGAGGAATTTCTTTAAATTCAAGTCTATCAGCAAGAGGGTCCAAGATTACAGTCACTATTGTGACTGTCCAACCACATTATCAGAGAAAGACTGGTTAAGAATAATGATGGGTAAATCCAATGAATTCCATCTCTGAGACAATTCAATTAAGTATTTATTCCTCCCAGGAAAAAGTTGTACTTTTAAGGGTCATCTCACTTCTGCACTTAGTTCTGTGCCACGTTTGGTTTCTTGATTTTCTTGTTTTACTAAGGGCTAATGAGACTTTGGTAGCAGCTTGAAGTAGTTAAAATAGTTAAGAACTGTTAAGATATTAAGCATATAAAGAAACTTAATGTAGGGGACTCAGGTCAACAATTTCTGACACTGCCAGTCAAGCGGAAGACCCAATACTATTATGAACTACTGAACTCTTGTAGAATATTTTGCTGAGTTAACACACCTATAATATTCAAATAACGGAACTAAACAAATAGGGGATTCAGATGAATGTCCATTTTGTATCTGTGTATTCAAAATGTTTGGGATAGATATATAGTTACATTCTCTTAATGAATAGAGGGATTTGTTCTAATAGTGTTTGTAAATAGGATATCATGTCTGCATCTTGTACAGCAAATAACCACTAGGAAGAGAGTATGCAATGTGTTAATTATTGAAACTGTCATACCAATTTGATTTGAAACTGTCTCATTGCTATTTGTCTCTCAATAAAGTTATGGAGAAAAAAAAAAACGAAACTTAAGGAGCTCACAGTCCAGCAGGACAGTGAACGACAAGATGACACATGATACACTCCAAGTGCCACAGAGAACAAAGAGAAATACAACCTGTGGGAATATCTTGTTTCATTTCTTAGAGCCAAAGTCTTATCCGTATTTACTGGGAAACAAATTATATAAACTGTTACACTTCCCAGGGACTTTGATAACAAAGTGCTATTGGCAGGTGATCTGCACTGGCAGTATGCCTCCTACCCCACCCCCACTCCGAGATTGAATTTAGGACAGCTCTAACACTGAGCTACTCGGCCCTTTTTTAAGACAGGGTCTTGCCAAGTTGCCCAAGTCTGTAGTCCTCTTGTCGCAACCACCTAAAGAGCTCAACTTATTTCACAAGCAATAAGAGATTCAGCTCTCCAAACAGAACAGTTAAGTTACAGACCATTTCATACAAGAGGCACCCCTGTCAGGTGTCGGGGCCACACCTATAATCCCAGCACTCATAAGGCTGAGGCAGAAGGATCGCTGGGAGGTCAAAGCTAGCTTGGGCTACAAAGTGAGTTCAAGGCCAGCTTGAACTGCAAAGCTAAACCTTGTCTCAAAAAGATTAAAAAAAAAAAAGCAACTCCGACAGGAAAAGGCCTATTATTAGCATTAATTTAAATGTTCTCAGTAGAAATTCCATTTTGACTTCATTTTTACTTACTCAGTACTTCCTAAAACTCTTTATTTGGGGAGAAACTTTCCATGACCGGCCTTTTCCAAACAGTGAATCATTTAGGAAAGTCTGAGCTAACTGGCACAGCTGATTATATGACAGAGAGATTAAAAAAAAAATACTACTTCCCCTCATTATCTTGGTTAATATACTATAGATTTTTCAAGCAGGTAAAAAAAGAATGGCAAAAATCCAAAACTGAACAAGTAAAAACAGTTTAAGAAGTGAAAGCCCAGGGGCCGGTGAGATGGCTCAGTGGTCTAAAGCACCTACTTAGAACAAACTTAGCAAAGCGCAGGGACCACGGTTCGATCCCCCAGCACCACATGCCAGCCAGCCCCGCCCCCTGGTGGGCTGAGCTGGCCACACACACACTAAATAAATAAATAAATAAATAAATTAAAAAAAAGAAGTGAAAGCCCAGCTTGCGCTACTACCCCCTTATGCTCACGCTTCGCAAGTCCTTCCCAGCCATCACTTGCTTCCTCACATTTTTAAAAGATGCAGGGCCAGGGAGATGGCTCAGTGGAATAAGCGCTTCCCTGGCAAGCGCACGGGCCTGAGTTCAATCCCCGGTTCCACCAATAAAAAAAAAGAAAGAAAACTAAAAGATGCAGTCATGTCCTTAGCTTGATACAAAGTGGGAAAGAGAATGACATCAAGAGATAAAAAAAAATGTTGAAATCCACATACCAAATTTGTATGTAGGCAGTCAATTACAATTCTGTACCTCCCGAGATCCTCAAGAGAATTCTTTATAGGGCTGGGGAGATAGCTCGGTGGTCTAAGTGCCTGCCTGGCAAGCACAGGAACCTGGGTTTAATCCCTAGTACCGCATGCAGTGCTGGCCCTGGATCCCTGGAGGAGGGGGTCGTGCTAGCCACTAAAACCAGGCAAATCCCAGCACTGGGGAGGCTGAGACAGGAGAGACCCTGTACCAATAAATAAATAAGCCAACAATTTAAAAAAGAGAGTGGGCTGGGGAGATAGCTCGGTAGAGTAAATGCTTGCCTGGCGAAAAAAAAAAAAAGAAGAGAGAGAGAGAGAATTGTTTTTAATACCTAAATTCTGATACAATGTAAGAAAAGAATCAACTCCTGTCAAGATGCCAATTTCTGTTTTTGTTCTCTTCAGGTGCAGGGGTCAGAGGTCTTTCACACGTTCTATTACGTATGGCTGTTG